GTAATGTATCTACAGCCTGATACACAGTCAGATTCCACCACTTTATCTTCATTAAGGAAATGTAAGTGTAAGTGTATGTAAAATGTAAGTCTGATAAATGATGAATAAACGGACAACACTGAATAAAACGTTTTTATTAACTTTATGGTTAACTTATTTACACTTTCCTCGCTCTGACTCAGGCTCTTCTTTTAAAGATAAACGTGCACCGTCTGCTACACATGCATTAATATCTCTACATCCACTGGATTAAAATGGAGGCGCTGTCTTTTATTTACCTGTTGCCATGGTGAATCGTGGAGTCGGAGCTCCATTGATGATGGCTTTTTATTGTCGGTTTAACTCAGAGTGAACATACTCAGAGTTGACTCTGATCAGCTGTTCTGGAACCGGTAACTCAGAGTTTCCCATCTCAGGGTAAATCAACTCAGAGTTCGGATTGGAATTGGGCCTTTGTTGAACCTCCTACCTGGAATACCCCTCTGGAGGAGGAGGACATGGGCAAGGGGAAGGAAATGAGGATTGGCTAACAACAAGGGTGGAGTAAACAAGACTAATACACAACAGGTGTGAAGGGAAGACTGTGGGAACAGGGAAGGACTAATGAGACGGGTGTGACAGAAAACAGGCGGGAAAGCACACAAAGACAGGAAGTAAAGCCAGACATGACACATGAGGAGAGAATCTACAAAATAAAACAGGAAGCAGCTCAATCATGAATGAATAACATGAATCAAAGAAGAACACAAACAGGAAATATAAACAAACCCAGGATCAAGACATAACCACTGTTCATACTGTGGAGAGTTTTATCAGTAAACTGTAACTATAAAATGAAAGGATGTTTTGCTGCCTCTCACAGCAGCTGGAGTCTGAGAAAAAATAACTTCATTCACTGGGCCGACTGCCGGCGACTTTGAAGGTGGAATGTTAACTTTTAATGTTACTCAATGCATGAGGTGACGACGTGGATCAATCAGCACACCTTTAATTTCACTGTGACAACTTTGACCATTACTTTAGTTTTTATATGACACACACTTTTAGTAATGAGTGGATCTTCAAGTGTTTGTATGTATTAATTTCGATAGCAATGACACATATCCCAATGCTTACTTGGAGAAAAAAAAAAGCGTCATGGAGCGTCGTTCCTGTGGGCTACAGCAACACTAAACCCCTGAGCTTGCCTGAGAAGGACTAAATGCACAAACATGCTATTTTTAAATATCCCATGGAGAGAGACTGTCACTGCAGCCTGTTCTGTTTTGTTGTGAAAATGTCGGCGTGCAGCCTCGTTCTGTGGACGATAAACCAGGTGCAGACTGATAAAGGAGGAAATACAGTGAGTGCTGGACGGAGCAGTGAGTGACAACAACCCCGCCCACATTTAAGAGGACTGTTTGTGGTGGAAACACTAGGGTCTAGGTACCATGTCTGAAGGGTTACTGTTGGTTCAAAAGGTTCCATACTGAAAGTGTTTGGTGGAAACGGGGCTATAGAGTCACAGCGGCAAAATAAGACAAATATATTGAGGCAAAACATTAAACCAAAGTGAATTTGAACTTTCGCTGACGAGCGTTTTTACAAACAGTAAAGAGTAAACATTTAGGCTTTCATGAATTTGCTTGTATTTTCCAGATATGAGGATGTACGATGCCTACGTGGTTTACCAAATGCAGAGCATGGACAAGGACACTGAGGACGCACTCTGTCAGTTCATCTCAAAGATACTGCCGTCCGTCCTCGAGGAAAAGTGCGGATATCGACTCTTCATCCACGGGAGGGACGACATACCCGGGGAAGGTCAGAATTTAATTTTTGTGTTTGTTTGATTTAAATTTTGGACACAAGTATGGATAAAAAAAACACTGGAGAGGCAAACTTCAAAACACCATCTGGAGTGTTGCATATGATGGAGGCTTAGTCACATAATGTTGCTCACATGGTTTGCATTATTAGGGCCTGGACACGCTTGTTATTGTTATTCTTCCTGTCGTGAAATCTGCCTTTTCATTCATGAAAATAAACCAAACTTTGCACAAAGGTCCAGAGCTGTGCCAGATGTCCTAAACTAAAATTTGGCTCTAATAGTGCTGATGGCGGAACTACAGCGACTGTCTAAATTTAAAACTTTAAAAGATTCACATCAGATCAGTCGTAGGTGCAACGACTTTGCAACTTTCATCAAAGTGTAGCCCCAACTGAGCAGAAATGTTCAAGATGGTGGATTTAGTTTATTCATTTCTGACATGGTGAACTTCTCTGAAAAGATCCTGTCCAGCACCGTGGTTTGTTCTGATGAACCGTTTTTCAGTCACTATATGACCTTGTTCTTTGTGACCCCACAGACCGTCTGGAGCTGGTGGAGGACTGCATGAAGCAGAGCAAGAGGCTGATGGTCATCCTCACCCCGGGCTCAGGATCAGAGTTGGAGAATGCAGACGGACCTCCTGCCTCGCCCCAAACCTCAGTGATAGGAGGCTTCGACTGGCAGGTACGAGTCTTACTGAAGGCAGTAGTTACTATTCACATTAACGTGATAAATACTGAGAAAGACTGAGGACACACTGAATAATAAAACCCTCTCATGACAAAATTAATAGAACAATAAAACAGCTGGGGACACAACTTATATTCCTTTTCTTCTTAATTATATTTGCGTTGCATTAATGTTGGCTTGTTGTTAATTTTGTAATGTATCTTTACTGTTCAATTTTCTAACCAACTACTATATTAATATCATGCTCCTCTATATTTATTTGTTTTTTTTCCCATTTATGATATATCATTTTAATATGCAGTGCTGTCTGAGCTTCCTTTTTAGATCATACTTTTATTGTGTTTTTTTGTGCAACATTTTGTATGTTTTTGCACCCAGGCCTCTCTGCACAGACTACTGGTTAACCTTGTGAAGATTAAATTACAAGAAGGTTTAAAATTGTTAAAAATATTGGCACAGACAGTAGCAAATCAGGTCTACTAATATGGTTCACACCCAATGTGTGAATATTCCACTGGTAATTATTTGTTTTATTTGGTGTGTGCATACAGACTGTTGCTTGATTGCAGATCTTTTGTCTGATTTCTGCTTCAAATCAAGATGAGATAATGTTTGATAGCTTAAATTAGAGGTGTATTTAAACAGTTATCTGTAGATAATTGCTGGAGGCCTCCAGCACTTGTCTTCCAAGTGGAAGGTCCAGGGTTCAAATGGGGTTGACGTCAGCAAAGGCATGTGGTCGCAAATGTTTCCCACCTCTGAATCAAACAGGATCAGATCAAAGGGGAACTAATGTTTTTATCAACCTGGGCCCTATTTTCCGACCTACGTTTGTCTAAATGACGATAGGATGATAGGATGTTCAATATGTGACATTTCTCCAGTATGAAGCTAGGGCTGACCTGCCTGCAGCCTGTGAGCATGCGTTATATTAAATAATAGGGCACTGGGACAGCGTCAAACAACGTCAAAATACGTCCACTAAAAGTGCATTTTTTCCACACAGATAGGCTCGGATTGTTAGCATAATTATCCGACAACATAACGGAAAGGAGAAATGAACGTCTGTGTTTACCTTTAGCTGGATTCGGACATGTTCCTCCGTCTGTTGCTGCTCCCTCTCTCTCCTTGTCCACTCTTCAGTTTCAATGAGCTCTGCGTCCGTGTACTTCGTGTTCAAATCAATCTGGAAATCCATCAGTAAAAAAAAATAAAATAATAATTTTTCTTCCTTTACCTCTGGAGGCACTGCCTATAGTTTTTCGATTAACGGAAGTGCAGGGGCCTCGGGGATCGCTCACCCCCTTCACTTCCGGCGGTGCCCCCAGTGCTACCTCCAACTCGAACCAAACGGCGGTAAAAACATTGCCACTAATGCCCTTTTTTTTCCTGTTGTGAGGAGTGGAAGGTGTGCTGGTGGATGCACAACAGTTGTAAGCTGTGTTGTTGTCAATGTTTTTCACGTTGACGAGACGGCGTCTTGGGTGGAGCGGTCGCCATGGACGCGGTTGTGATTGGCTAAAGCGCAGCATCGTTCAACCTCAAAGCCCCCCCCATCTGTAGTCGTCTTTCACACAGGGCTGCCGACAGATTCTACAGTGTAAATTGCAGAATCTGTCTTGAGAGATTATGTTCAAATAAATACGGGCAGTCATCAAATTCAAATGGCTCATCCAATCCAGTTGGTCAAAATCGGGTAAAAATTCAGCCATGACTACTCCAAACAGAGTAACTCTTTGTAAGGTTTGTAAGGTCACTCCAGTGGTAACTTGTAACTTTAACTCAAATCTCGCGAGATGTGAGATTTCAGAGGCAGACTTTCACTCTCTGAGTGAGTGTTTTGACTCACAGCAAACATGTCCGAATTTTTACCCGATTTTGACCAACTGGATCTGGATGAGCCATTTGAATTTATTTGAACACGGATGCAGAGCTCATTGAAACTGAAGAGCGGACGAGGAGAGAGAGGGAGCAGCAACAGACACATGTCTGGAACATGTCTGAATCCAGCTAAAGGTAAACACAGATGTTCATTTCTCCTTTCCGTTATGTTGTCAGATAATTATACTAACAATCCAGGTTGATAAAAACATTAGTTCCCCTTTAATCTGATCCAAGTCCTCTACGAGGGCGCGACTCAAGCCCGTCATAGACAGAAGGTTCCAGATGTAAAAGTGGATGCATCTGTAGATGATTGCTGAAAAAGTCATCAATGCAACAGAAAACTTGTTCTCTCAAGATGATGACATCATCAAATGTTAATCATCATGCTTAATCTTTCACTCAGCACAGTGCGTCTGTCATTGCTAGCTTCAGACTGATGTAGTCGTCGCTGTCATGGCCAGCACCCATGTTGTGTCAACAGCAACTTGCATCAAAATCTGTGTGCACAAGGGCGTGAAAGTCTTACATGTACACTCTGCTTGTTCCACACACACACACACACACACACCCACACACACACACACACACACACAGATGTGCAGATGGGTAAAATTATACATCATTAATGAGGATAATACTGATGACATTCTCTAAAAGCCAGGCACACCTAGCTTTTAAAAGGAATGGGAGCTGGAACTCTTATTGCTTTAATACATGTTATGCCCAAAACACACCTATTATTAAGGGACTAAATACAACCCCTTTGCGCCGTTGGCACCTCACTTAACGTCCAGATTATGGAGAAAGTGTCTGTTGGAGACGCCTTAAATGCACTTGCATCATGCTCTTAAAACCAGTGGTTCCAAAGAGGTGGGTCATGGTCCAAAAGTGGGTCGCGGGTCCATTCTGAATGGACTACAAGTGACTTGCAAACATGTCAAGTTTGTAAAAAACACACTTTATTTTGAAGCACAGTGAATTTCCGGCCACTGCTTCAGGCTACGTGTTATGGTTTTATAAATATGGCTCATGGTGTGTCTCCAATCTTGGCTTCACACTTGCTGCACTGCTCTGGGGAAATCTTTGTGTGACTAAACATCCAGTGTGTTCAGTTAATAAAAATGTCACTGATCCTTTTCCAGTTGGGGCTCCACCATGCACTGGTCCAGAGGGAAATGAGCGTGATTCTGATCCAGCTTGGGGATACTGGGCCAAAAGGATACACACACCTTCCTGCTGGTCTGCAGCACCTGATTCAAAAGAGTGCCCCCATCAGGTGGCCAGAGGGTTCGCGGGGCGCCACAGCCTGGAACTCACGCTTCTGGAAGAGAGTAAGATACCTGATGCCTGCAACACCTGCCAAAAAATGTCTGCAGTCTGGTATTATTTGAAACTCTTATGAGTTTACTGTGGCTTTACTGGAATGATAATTAGCATGTGTAATAAAAAGGATCCAGATGCATGGGCCCATCAAACGCTTTACACAGGGTCATCAGTTATGTCAGAATGTACCGTCGGTTCAAGGACCTGTTTATTCATCCATAAAAGTATTTACATTTGAATGCTCACATCATTATCGCCCCCTGCTGGTTAAAGACTGGATGTATATTCCCACAGGGTGAAAGTACAGAACCCCTGAGAGGCAAGTGTCTGAGCTAAACTGTTTTTGCTGCGGTGTTAAGAACATAACAACAGGTGAAAAATAAGCAGCAATTTCGGGGTTGAAGTCAGAATGGAACTTTAAAAGTTGAAAGCTTGGTAGGATCAAGATCTTTGATAATTTAAGATGCCTGCATTAAAGATAAACAACAGGTTTTTGGGGACATGCTTTAATGTCTTAGTTTTTTTGATGTTTGAACAAACCCTCATTGATGGGTAAATTTTCCAAAAGGCCATTGCACTTGTTTGGAACTTGTGGCGCCCCCTATTGACCAATTTACAAATAATTTAACACATGTGGTTCGTCATTATTATTTAACAGTCCCTGCAAGTTTTGTAATGATTTGACAATCAGTTACTGATTTCCAGTCTGATTTGTATAATCTCATGCCCATTTTTTTGCATGTGCAGTGCCCCCTAGTGGTCAATTTGAATACAACTTTCAGGATATGTTCCTGGTACCTCTCAAGACGTCGCCTGCAAGTTTGTGATGATTGGCAGAGTGGTTAAGGAGTAAGATCCATTAATGTACTGAACATACACCTTCTAAAGTTCATTGGTCAATATCAACACAATCCAATGAGATATCAAAAAGCTTTTGATACCGTTTGATGACCTTCATCTCATGGTGATCCACAGAAAATTTGGTATAAATCAGACCTTCAGCTTAAGGGGAGATGTCAAAAATGTGTTTTTAAAAAGATTCATTATGGCAGAAAATCTGGTCAGATGGACCTTGAGAGTTCCTGAGGCTTTCATAGAATGCATTCAGCTGAACATGTGTGTCGAATTCTAAGTCAATCCGACATACGGTACGAAGGGGGTGGCCTTTCAAAACAGAATTTCTTTAACCATAATTATAGCGTAACCCCATCTGACCCATCAGCATTATATTTCTTGAGCACCATTTGCACACCACGTCCAGTCATTGGTGAAAATTTCATGTGTCTATGACGGGAATTTGTAGAAATTGTGGTTCAGCCCTTCAGGATCATTTTTACCAGCCGTGACATCACTGTGACTGTCACGGTTTACACCTCATCAGTCTATGTCTGAGTGCGTCATTATAAAACATGGCCCTGGTGACGCCTCAGTTGTGGCTGGGCTGACTCCCCAGATTTCAACTGGTTGGAAGGAAGCGTGAGACTCAGTTCCCAACCACATGATAAAAAAATATATTCACTTGTGGAAACGAATCTCAGGAGAACCTTTACAAAGGAGAGCGCCTCCTTAGTAACAGCACAAAACAATAGCCTCTTTCAGAACAAAGGTGTTTTTATATGGGTTAAATTGGGTCTCAGTGAAATAAACCAAGAAATAAAATCACTATATAAAGTGTTAGGTGATCGTTTAATAAGCAAACTCTTGCGTCAAACACCAAGAACAGCCCAGAGGTAGCTGACCTTGTGTTCCCTCCACTTAGGTTTTAGAACACACAATAAAAACAGCACAGCAAAATGAATTCTCAAATGAGCCTCGAGACCAGAGTTCATGAGTGACAGTGTTTTCTAACATGAGGTCTGTATTCGATTGAGGATCAGAATGTCCTGGTAGTGCATTTCCTCACCTCTCTTAAATCCTCAGAGAGGGTGTCATCACATTCTGATTGGTCCAGAGGGGAATCACACCAAGCTGCTTGCAATTCTTAGTTAGGAGTCAGTACCCACACCCTGCGCAACAGCTAATCTGAATTACTCTCCAATTAACTGCGCAGTACGCTGCTGTTTCTCTTTGCTTCTATGTCATGCTGTTCCTGGATACAACTATTGGTCTTCACCTCAAGAGCTCTGTACTCACATCAGACCACTGCTGTGTCCAACTTGTACTGATGTGCAGTTGCCATCTGAATGTAGACTCTATATTTTTTATGTTCTGTGACTATACATGTGGTTGTATTTGTCTTTTTGCTGTTTCAGCCCATTCGGCAGATTAAATGTTGGTGCTGAACATGTCAGCAAACCATGGATATTTTACATTTGTATGTTTCATACGTGTCATACCAACGTTTCTAAGGTGACGTAGTAGATGAGCCGACTTTGTCCTTGACCTTGGTGAGTCGCGTCTTCCAAAAGCTTGCAGGCACCCACTGTGGGTGTTTTTAAGGGGACCGTACCTATGTTCCCCCATAATATAGGGACCTCTCCGAAAAAGGGTGCTATGTCCCCCAGGTCCAATGTTCGCCCCTGAAACGCGAAAGAAAAACGCACTTACCTCATGTGATTGCATGATTCAATGCCCAAAGGCGCAGACAACGCTCTCCAAGAGTCACATATATTTAGAAAGGGAAAAAGCCAAGGTTGCAGAACATAGGGGGGAACACAGGACCCAGGGAACATAGGGATGACTCCAGCAGTTTTTTAGCCACAAGAAGCAGGTATTTTAAGCTCAAATATTATGTTTTCCAAACTATAACCAAGTGGAATTTGTGCCTAAACCTAACCACACATAAATGACACTGAGTCAGTCAGTCATTTTCCATTACAGCTTATCCTGTCGGGGGTAGCTCAGGGCTGGAGTCTATCCCAGCTGACACTGGGTGAGAGGCAGGGTTCACCCTGGACAGGTCACCAGACTATCACAGGGCTGACACATAGAGACAGACAACCATTCACACTCACATTCACACCTACGGACAATTTAGAGTCACCAGTTAACCTGCATGTCTTTGGACTGTGGGAGGAAGCTGGAGCACCTGGAGGAAACCCACGCTGACACAGGGAGAACATGCAAACTCCACACTGAAGGGCTCCCTCACAAACGGTTTGAAACGAGGAACCCTCTTGCTGTGAGGTGACAGTGCTAACCACTGCACACGTTTTTTCATTAATAAAACTTTGCATCAGAAGAACATAAGAATGCTTTTCTCTACACACACACACACACACACGTATTGACCCTTTGTTTGCTTGTTTACATTTCCTAATGACATCACCTTTGTGTTTGCCTCTGATGCTTTCTGAGGTGAGATTCCTCATCAGCCCTGAGGGTTTCCTCAAATCTCACCTGCACAACTTGTTCTTCCTTTGCTGTTGTATTTCTGTTGAGTCACTTTTATGCAAATAATCCTTTTGTGCAAATAAAGCCTACAACATTTAGTCTGGTGAACAGGCTGACACTTAAATTCTGTATTCGTCTATAAGAGACTATTTATTTATTCTACTGTTGTTTCTGTATGACTGATGAAGACACAGCATTCTGTATATTTATCTCCAGTGTAGGATGTTCTTTAAAAGTACTTGACAACAAATGTAATTTATGTTGTTGCAAAATGTCGACTTGTTCATTAAAATGCTCGAAGTAATGAATAAGTTATTTGTGTGTTGTCTTTATTTTTATGGTAACATGTAATGTAGAAAGTTTTCTACCTCTGTGTTGCTGAAGATGTCAGAACAAAGCAGGTAACCACTCTTTTCCCAGCCCTCATCATGCAACAATTATTTTCTTCAGTAGTTTACTTTTGATCTGCTCTTAACTGTTGTTACAGTGTTTATCCACCAGAGGGAGACACTTTCTTTTCCCCATAAGAAAAGTGTTTCACTCTGATGCAGTGGTCCTGTTAAATGCTGTTGATGAAAAGCTCTGTTACTGTTTATATAGCTCATTTTATTCAGGCTCAGAAGCCTAGTGATTCTGTTATTGTGCAGTTTCTCCAACATGATTTTTTTTTTTTTTTTTTTTTTTTTGTTATCCCGACTCTATATGTGATAAAAAGCTTAAGAGGGGGCCCTTGACATTTGGGTTTTGTTTGCAGTTTTTTATTTCTAAGTAATTAGTGCCATAACAAAATTAAATTGGCTGAATAAATCAGCTGAAAGACTGTTTTTTCTTCTTATTAAGACAAATAATAAGACTGAACTTTGTATTAAAAAATCATCATCCTCTCACCCCTTAAAGGTGCATATGGTTTAGTCCACCCCTGCATAACACAGCTTGTTATGCTGCTGGAGCACCAATGTGCACAGTCATGTCTTCCCCAAAAAATGGAAATTGGGTTCCAAAAACAAGGAAACAGATAGAAAGAAAAAAAAGTGTAAAAACGAAATTGACTGTAACAAAAAAAAAAAAAAAAAAAAGTGTGTGAGAGAAAAGTGGAAGAGAGGAAGAGCAGGGGCCCCCACAGAGAATGCTTGTGCATAGAGCCCGGTCTCACTTAGAAGTAATCAAAATCTGCAGTGACTTGCGGCGTCAGAAACCGATGAAAAAAAAGTTGTCCTTTAACGTTTGCATGATATGCTGACGGTTGCTGTTATATCAATCAATCAATGAATCAATCAAATTTTATTTATATAGCACCTTTCAAAACAAATCAGTGTCATTCAAAGTGTTTTACATTTTGATTGAAAAATACAGAGAATAAGAAAATAAAATCAGAAAAAGGACAATAATCATTTAAAACAATAATAGAAGATAAAAACAAGATCAAAACTACTGGGCTGCTACTGAAAAAAAAAACGATTAAAAAAATTAAAATAATTAAAATAAAATGCAGGATCAAATATAAAATCAAAGTCAGAAGAATAGCAATAATAAAAAGAGAAAAATACAGATAAGACCACTGAATAAAAACAAAAGTAAAAATAAAAATAAAATGCAGGATGCAGTTATAGTTTAAAGGCGCCCGGCAGCATCAGGGGGAACCACGGCAACAACCCAAGAGTACCTTGCTGCAGTCAAGATGGCCGACAAGGCGCCGCCATACATCCAATCCATGCCGGAAGTCACAACCGGAAGTTGGTTAATCGCCGCTCGATCCCGGAAATATGACCGAGCTAGAACAAAAATAAA